CAAGCGCACCCCCTCACTTGTTTACAACTGGCACGCTAATAATGGGACAGCTGAAGAGCCGCCGCCATCTCCCTCCAGCTTCCGCACCCCCCCTTCCCCCGTGCGTGTGCGCGCAGTGCCCGCGGTGGCTCCATCCCCTCTTTGGCCCCTCTGAGCTCCGATCTAAAATGAGAAACAGCTTGTCAACTTTTCACAGGCTCTTCATTGTGATGATCAGTCGGACCATTTGGCACGCGTCAGCCTGATAATCAATAACAATTAAAATTGCGCCGGCGCTCCGCGCTCCTAAGCTTTCTGCTCATTATGATGCTGGGTGTGATGCTGGTGAGAGTGAGGCCCGAGGCGCAGAGATAGTTTGCAGCCAGACTGCACTTCTGCTCCGCGCTCTGGTTGTATTTCCCTCGGATTTGTTCCCACTGCTTTCCGTTTTGTTCACCTGCAGCGTCGTGCGCGGCTTTTCCATTTTCTCCCGTGTGTGCGCGCGCCATCGCGCTCGCATTTAATCCATGTTTATCCTCACCCCACCCTCGTCGCTGCGGAGATTATCCTGCGTCACAGTGCATTTTTTTTAGAGCTGATCGGAGCTCTGCGCTTCAGAGAGCCTGCTGGCAAAGCTCCAAGGACAAAGAGCGAGAGGGCGCGCAGTTAGACCTACATTCCCCGGTCTGCCGTCACTCTAACGAGCTTTAAAACGGGACACAGCAAACGCAGCTCATTTGCTCCGCTCATGCGTTCCACTTGGCGGTCAGATCAGTTTGTCTAAAGATAAATAAGGCCCAAATAGTGGTGCTCATAAAGGCTGCAGTCGCGCTGCATAAGGGATTTACAGAGGGCCTCAGCCATGCAGGAGGAGATGATAAGCGGAGCACCGTGTTTGTTTTTGTTTCCACACCGCGGGTCACTGAGAGTTCAAGGCGCAGTCACCAGAAAGAACAAAAGGGAAAGGAACTCGTTAAAAAATCTTCAAGTTTAAAATGATTATCTTTAATGAGATTTGGCACAGAAGCCAGAACCTGCTCACTTCGAAAAGCAGTTCAGCCCATTTTTTACTTCCTTCAAACCTCCTCCTCCTCCTGCTGCTGCTGCTGCTGGTGCATGCTGGTGGTGGTGCATGCTGCTGCCAGCCGCGCAGTGACTGATTGCTCGGCCCTCGGGAGTTGTTTGTTGCCCCAAACTATTCTTAGCTGCAGGGATGGGCGTCGACGCCCTCCCTTCCCTTCTTCTCCTATCTCGGGTCTCTCTTTCCAGTCCGTTCTCTCTTGTGCTGCAGTATTATGTTCGGATCTGGCCTCAGAAAATCCTCCAGCAACCAGACTCACTGGCTTCTAACAGCAGGCCTGTTTGATATCTGACACCCTCTCTGCAGGCCCGCAGCTCCCTCTGTCTCACTGCCTGTACAGGCTGCACCTTATTGAAGGGTTAAAACAGCCTATAACAAATTATCAACATTTAGAACATTTTAAATAAATACTAAACAAGCTTGATCGTTCTTCCTCCCGGTTAAAAATATTAACTTCTTCTGTTAGTGAAAAAACGCTCTCTAGTACACTTCTTTCTCTATTTCATAGCATTTTTATGGTAGATTTTCGTTATCATAACCATAAATATGAAATCTGACAAGCGCGTTGTCCGCGTGGCCTGGTCACTTTGCTGCATAATCACCTCCTAGTGTCGCACTGACATCTACCTTGGGATATTTCTGAAATTACGATCTGCCAGGGGACGTTTAATCTGACTATTTCTATTGATCTTCTATATGCTTCTCATGTGAAATGGGGATAGGACTCTAATAAATAATGTATATCAATCAGAGGTGGGCTTGTTTTGGTTTGATCTTGGTTATAAGTCCTCTGGTAGGTTCTTTATCATTTCGTGTATATTAATACATTATGCATGCGTATTTAATAGTGATTTAATTCTAGAAAATACTTAAAAAAACAAAATGAATACAAAAAAATAGATATTGTCAACTATGAATAGACATTACTTTTTTTAATGAAATGTCGGGGTAAAGGAAGTGACAAAATGGCGATTTCCTACTAAAAAGGTCGAATAGTGTTTTTTCTTTTTATTTTCATATTCTTTTATTTTGTCGGACAGTTAGTTAGCCTATCTGTTCCACTCAGTCTTCTGCAGTGGAATAACGTCTAGTCTTAACTGCGCGCAGGAGGTCGCAATTAGGCTTAATTAGGGGATCCAATCAGGTGTTTTTTTTTTTTTTTTTATCTGATTCTTGATACAAATAGGCTAACGGAAAATGATGTGATGTCAATATTTGAGGGAAATATAGCCAAGTTAAATTAGATGAGGACATTGGAGCTTTTAAAACTATAAAGCTGGTGATTAGGCCTATTGTAAGAGTGGAAACTCCGAGAAGCTGATAAAGATGGAAACCAACCGACACGTGGTACGAAAATGGACAAATGGACCCTGAACTTTCATGTCTTACATTTCATACCTTTGAACAATGATATATTATAGGAGACGATACATCACCGCTTGTATCAACGCATAAAGTAAGTTTTTTTCTTTGTTGTTGTTGGGCAGAATAGTTCACCTTTATTTTGTTTCGCTTGCCTTTTTTATTTCTGTAAGGGATGCGAAGCTTCGTGAAAACCAAAGCAGAAAGAAAAATAGCTGAATGGTTTGATTTTGACTGATTCCTGGCGCCTCGCGCAGACTTGTCAGCGCACGAGGAGACGCTGCCTGCCTGCCAGACACGCGGGGAGTGAAAGTGTGCGCATGAGACGCTGCGCGGACTCGGAACAGGAAACGGGAAAGAGGTGATTTCTCAACAGCGTCTGCGCTTTCAGGATGCAGTCAAAACGTGCAAGTCTTCGCGCGCTTTGAGTCCGCGCGCGCGCACAGACGCGCCGCTCCGTTTCGGTTCCGTTAGATGCGTGTGTTGTTGGAGCAGAACGGGCCGACCGGAGCTGCAGGGCGAGGAGAAGGAGGGGTGGTAATGTAGAGGGGGGGCTGTTTCTCGGCAGGCTGATTAATGTTCTCCGGGTCACCGCAATAAAAAACGTGGCGTGCCAGCGGCGCGGCAGCGAGGCGTTTCACCGCGATGATCGAGGAGCTCAGCTTCTTTGCTGCTCTCAGCTCCGGAGAGCTCCACAGAAGGCTCAGTCTTTCTATTTAAAGCAGTTTCTGTCTCTCACTCTGCTCCTGTGCAGCCTCTTCCAACCCGACTGGAAATATCAGTCAGAATTGCAACTCTGGGGGCGCTTTAAGTTTTTAATAAAACAGGTTGAAATTTTGCAGGGTGGAAAAAAGTCACTTAAAGCCTCTGTACAATAATACCGTGGCTTTGTCATTTAACAGATATATGAATATAAACCTGCTGTGTGTTGCACTGATGTTTGGAGGTATGGCTCCCCACCCAGGGCAGCAACACATGGTTTTTGTGATGAGATTGACCCAAAATAGAAAAACCTGCGTTTTTTATTGTTAATTGATTCTGAAAAAGTAAAAAAAAAAAAAAACTGTTTCCAAGGTTTGAAGATGTTTTGCTTCCCATCCAGGAAGCTTTCTCAATTCAATTGATCTTAATTGATCTTATTAAAAAAAAAAAAAAAAAAAAACACTGGGTACTGGGTAGATGCTCTTAGTTATATTTTTTCCCCCTAATGATAACTTTGTTGAAACTAGGCCTCCAGTGTTCACTCTTTGAATGCATCAACCATGCCTGCACCTTTTTCAATTCAATACTTTGGATAAAATCCAGAGACATGCACTATGATTCATAATGGTTGCTTTATTTTTAGTTGGCCTTTATCAGACAAACTGCAGCATATTTATGTTTTATAGGGATTTAAGTCAAAATTGGTAGAGGGCTTGAAATGTCTGATCAGTGCATTGCTAAAGTAGAAAGTTTCCTTTTTTTGCAGAACAGTTTTCTTTTTGTTTTATAATTGTGGCGTATTAATGTTTCAGGAGTAGCAATTAAAACTGGACTGAGCTGGAGATGTAAAAGATGCCTGTCCCCACCCCCAACTTCTTCCTGCTGTCTCTGCCATGAGCATATCATCTTTTAATGTACAAGGACACCGTTTTAGCTGGTGTTTTGCTTGTATTATTACATCAACGTAAATGTAGATTAAGAAAAAAATTTTTTTTTTCCACTTCTAAGGCTTAGTCTTAGAATATACACTAAGTCTGTGTATATTTAGAGTGGATGTAATCACAGGATCAGAAACTGGTTGTGGAACTTTTTTTTAAAACTTACAGTGAATAATTGGTCTCTAAACTTTTTCCCAGCATATAATAATTCATATACTGAACTACCTGAAAAGAAATTCAGACTTATACAAAATAATTAAGTGATCCGGGGGCATCTTTATAAGCCTTGATGGACCCCCCCCCTTCCAGTTTCTTTTGTTTCAGATTTCAACATTTCTTTTGTAATGCATTTCAAACTTTTGCATATTTTCTCGCTATACTGCTCCAGTCTGTTTATTCCCCTCTATATGGGGCTTCTTTTCTCCTACACACTCTACCTTCGTGCGTTTTCTGGTGCGAGGGTATTGTTGATCTGAGGCTCTCTGTTGGCGGGTGGTAAATGGGCTCCCACCGAAGTGCTCTGCGATGCATAATCTTCCCTCGCTCTGCTGGCTGAGGCAGCCGAAAGAGCGGGTCAAAGAGGGCACAGAGAAAGCGGTGTGTGTGTGTGTGAGGAACGTGACTGAATAGACGTGGCCTCACAGTGCTCGACTAGCCCAGTATGAGGGGGGACAAAGGGAGGAGGTGTGGGCGCTATAGGGATGAAGGGGTGATGATGGATGGGAGGGGGTAGAGGTATTGTAACTGTCCGCTTTTCTCTATCCATATTCAGTCTGTCATATTTCACGCCACAATTTTTAGAATGAAGCTTAAATTCTATACAGTGTGTGTACGAGATTTTGTGAAATTTAAGTGGCAGCGTTGTGGCCTAGCATCCGCAGTGTGTTTATGTGACAGAGCCAAGGCGCCGAGTGCTAACTGTTTGCTCATCTCCACAGGGCAACATCTGTTCGTGATGTCGATGCTGAGACACAAACTAACCTGGCAGTAAGACGAGGAAACAACATCACACAAAATATGGCAAGTTCCTGTGGTTGACATTTGCTTTGACAACAAAATCCGTGGTTTGCTAGAAGTCTGTGTAGATGCAAAAACCAAATAATTCCTACTTGAATTTTTTAAGACTTCTGTAAGAGGAATCCGATTCAGTTGAATTTAAGGTAATTGGTCACCTAAAATAAAAAATGTCATATCTGGTTCTTGTATAAGTTAAAATTTTCTGTTGTAAATTTTAGCATTTTGCATACAACTGAGGACATCACAAAACCCATAGAGCAATTTGCTGTGTTTTTGTTTTTTTTGACTACATCCCAATGCATATGTCTCTTTCCTTTTATTATTATTTTTTTATTATTTTATCAATTTCCGCCCTCTGAAGCGGTTATTCAACCAATGCTAACTGGCAGACTCTTATTATTTTGATCAGTAGATGTCATCTATCCAAATACAAATGTAACATTGTTGGTATTAGTTTCATTTAGAAAAACTTTTTTTTTGTGGAATCCTGTATAGAAAGTCTATTCTTCAGTAGCCAGCTGTGGTTTTGTCATCAGGATGCCCCGTAGAACTGAACAAAATGTATATTTTCGCTTTAGGTGGATGCGAGGTTGACGCCCCTGGCGGCGATGGGCCTGGACCGAAGCAGTCTGATACATGACAGTCTTCGTCTTCACGGTGGGGTCGTATATCCGGGGATCAGAACCCTCCCAACAGAGAAGAGCAGAGAGGCACCCACCCTCCCACTTGCCTACAACAGGGATGGTCTACCAGAACTAATTTACAAACCAGACGGCCCCCTGGATAGTCGTAAGACCTCAAATGGATACCAGAGCCTCTACAAGGGCACCCATCCAAGCCTTCACAAGCCTGTGCTAGTTTCTGGAGCGGAGGGTCTTGGGTTGGAACGGAGAGTGGGGCCTGGAGAAAAAGTGACAGAGCTGGGCTTGGCTGGGGCTGGTGGAAGCTACCTCCGCATGCCATTGCTGAGCCCATACCCTGAAGCTGGCATGTATCCCTTTATGGACACATCCAAGTACGCTGCTTTGAACATATACAAAGCCTCCTTGCTCAGCCAACCCAGTCCCTACCTTCCCCAGCACCTGCCCTACCCTCCCCTGTGTGCAACCCAAGGAGGCAATGTTACGTCTGCTGCAGCTGTTTCTGCTGCTGAGAGGCTCTATTATATGCCTCCCTACCCTCCCTCTCCCATTTCTTCTCCACTGGTGGCCACTCCCATGAGGATTCCTGCGGTCACAATGACCCCCACTTCGCTGGTACACTGCCAAGACAAGGGGCTCGGTGTTACATCTCCGTTTGCACAGCAGCTTCATCAGCCCTCTCCTCACCCTCAGCACCATCAGGCATCTATGGAGAGAGACAGGTCTCCGAGCAGGAGTAGCAGACCAAGCAGACCTCCCTCCAGGAAGGGAGCAAGCAACAACAATAGCACCAGTAGTACCAGCACCAGTGGCACCACTGCTGGGAATAATAACAGTCTGCCCGCTGATTCTTCTCATATGTCGTCCCGCCTCCCCCAACCTCTCCCTCTGCCTAACCTCCTTGACAAAGCACTGGATTTGCAAAGGCCAGTTGCCAGAATAGGACAACCATCCGCCTCTTCTGCTGCTTCATTATCGGCATGCCCCACTTCTACGCAGTCCATTGCTCATCCTTTTTCTATAAGCAGCATGGCATCAGAGCAGTCCTCCTCTGCCAGACCCAGCCCCCATAAACCTAGGTCAAGAGATGGGGCATCTGAGAACAGAAGTTCAGGAGTAGAAAAAGTACGCAGCAGGTCTCCTTCTGTAGTCAATTTTGAGAGGCCAGCTAACCAAGCCCAGCAAACCAAAGACTCTGCAGAGAAGCCCTTGGATTTGTCAGGAAGAATTATTGAGTACGGACTGCCTGCCAATGGTTTTTCAGTTAAAATGGACACCATGTCATCTGGTGCCCGCTATGGACTTCCCTCTAGTCGGGATCTTCTAACGGAAAATGTCTCCTTGTCCCCTTCCTCCCATCCTCATTCTGTCGTTAGCAGCACTTCTTCAAAGGTCTCAGAGAGACCAGAGATGATCAGCACTTTACACTCTACCTGGGTTGTACCAAGCCCATCTCCCTCACATGCACAGCACACGTCAGGTTTGCCGCCCTCTCCAAGGTCAAACGCAGACCTGGGTCTTTCACAAGCCAAACGCGCCTCCCCCTCTGTCATTAAGAACAAGAGCCTAGAGAGGGTTCTCCCTCAGCAGCGGAGCTCCTCATGCCCAAGGATAGGAGAGCCAAACCTCAGCGTTCCCTCCTCTCAACACTCTGGATCGTCTCTGATAAGCTCCAGGGTGCATTCCCCTAAACCTAATGGTGAGTGGGTGAAACACAGCCCCAGCCAGTCAGAGCAACACAGAGAAGGACCAGAGAGGTCTGTCCAGATGAATAAGAGAAGTGAACAGACTCCCGATCTGTCGTCATACAAAAGGCCATGTTTGGAGAATGGAAACCCTCCTCACCTTTTCCTTCCCCAAAGCGAAGCTTTTCTGAACCACAGCTTGGCTTATGCTAATAGATATCTGCAGTACCCCATCCCTGATGGCCTGGCGCTACACTCTGTTCCAATTTCAGGGAAAGGCCCAGTGTACCCCAATCCTGTTCTGCTGGGCAACAACGGCCTTTACCCAGCCCACTTAGCTGGAAAACATCCTTTAACCTATCCAAACCTACCAGCTGGTCCGGGCTTAGAATACCTCACTTATAACTCGCAGGAGATGGCCCATCCTCTGATGCAGACGCACTCTGACAGCAAGCCGACAGAGAGGGCAGATGTAACACTAAAACCCCGGGGACAGGAGAAACCACGGGTAGCTGAAGAGGGGGGGAGCCACAGAGTTCACAGCACTGGGAAAGAAACAAGCGAAGGCAACCAAATGAAGCATGATAGGGAGATAGGAGTACAAGGACAGGGTGGCAGTCAAAGCAAAACCCTCCCTTCATCTGCAACATCTAGAGAAACGATTGTCTGCATTGACCTTGTACACTCAGACACAGATATCGAGTCTACACCAACAGTCCAAAAACAGTCTTCTGCAGAGAATAGCAACAAGGGGAAGGAAAATGAATGTCACAACAGCCAGAACCCCATCAACACTGAAACTGAGATAAAAAACCATGCACATCCAAGTCACTCTGTAAAAAAAACAAACTTGAAAGGAAGCAACACTGATGGCCAGCAGGATGCTTTTTTTGGGAAAGGAAAAATTCCCCAGGAAACGCCCTGTCAAGCCGAGACACCCAGGGCATCCCAGACCTCTCTTCCAGGAGAGATTTCTGAAGCAGAAGAGAGCACAGAGGAGAGTAGCCCCAGCCCAGACCCCGAAGATCAAGATCAGAGCACTTTACGCTGTGCCCGCACCTCAGGGGAGCGTAGCTCTGGAAAGGACAAAAGAGATGGGGGCAGCTGCGTTCCACTCCCTACACAGGACAATACGAATGTGGTAAAGGAGTGTGAGAGGGAGGTGGAAAAGGAGGACAGTATTGTTGATCTTGGGGAGTCCCAAGCAGAGGGAGATGACGATGAAGAGGAGGGGGAAGAAGGTACTCAGACTTCATCTAAAAACTCTCGTAGGTCCAGCCTGGCGAAACGGATTGCTAACTCCTCTGGCTACGTTGGCGACCGCTTTAAATGCGTCACCACAGAGCTGTATGCAGACTCTAGCAAACTGAGCCGCGAGCAGAGAGCCCTACAGGTAAGTTCACAAGTTTATCTTTTTACCACATATTGTATCAGGTTATTTGTCATGTCATGAGCAGACATTTCAGACTTACATGTGTAACCACAAGAAAATAAATATCCATGGGCCACTGCCTTTATCCCCTTTGCCTGTGGAGCAAACCTTGCATGAACTTTGCAAACTGCATTTAAAGCCCTGTGGAAAATAAATACTACCCATGCTACTGTCTTGGCTGAGGGGTTTGAACTTCCCTTTAGTTTATCATTGGCTCCCTCTTTTGGCTCCCTCTTTTAGGGATGGTCGGTTCAAAGTTTAAACAGAACCACCATTTTTTTGTATGTTGATTACTGAGAAGCCATCGTAAAGGTTACTCTGTGTGTGTGATTCTGTACGAGCCTCTCCTTGTGTGACTGCCTTCAGGCTAAAGCATGTAGTGCTGACTGTGGTGTAGACAGTAGATTCAGAGCATGATCATGACAATCTCAAAGATCACATCGCCTTTGGCTGTACTTAACCCCAAGGTTAGGAGACATTTGGTTCTTGCAGGATGCTTGGATACTAACAGCCTCAGCCTTCTGAAGCCTTGGTTCTCAAACTACAGCCAAAGTACAAAATGTTGCTTGGGCTGCGTTCAATAATCAGATGGTCAGATACAGGTGTTGGTATTCATTTGGTAAATATAAACAAACTGGCTTCTTATGCAGTTTCATCCAACGCTTTTCAAAGTCTGAAACCACATGTCATTTACCAACTGATTTGTCCAATAAAAAGGCGAGCTACCTTTGGCAGCACAAGCTACGTTAAATGCATTGGTTCTCATAAACATTGTAGTAAAGCAGACTAACGTATAGTACAGTTTTTAACCGAGATTCAATAAGCTCCAAATAGTCAAATGTTCAAGTAAACTACGGTTTGTACTCATTACGGCTTTATTGAATTTTCTCGATTAGGAGGGTTAGTGAGAAATCTTTGGCTCTCACTCTGAGAATTCCCACTTCAAGGGACTTTACTGTAGATTTTTTTCAACTACAAAGTGGGGGGTTTTACCCTCCGAGTGTAAATGAGATGTCCATTGGAATAGTATTTGAAAAGTCAGTGAGTGTGGTGGTACTTGGAAAACCTTGTCATGTATTGAAGTGGCACTTCTGATAAAAAGTTTGAGAACCACTGCTCCAAAGCTTTCTGCATGCCCCCTGTCTGCCAATCACAGCCCTTCCCCCTAATCCCAGCTCCTTTTTGGCCTGAGCTTCCCTGCCTGGTCTTTGCGAGGTCATAATCCTCCTCACCCCACTGGATGAAATGCCTTGCCTTCTAACATGCATCATATGACCTCTATTAATGTAAACTTGCCACTACTCTCGCCCACTACCATCTAGGCACACAGATTAAGTTACATGTTTTGAACAGTTTTCTCTAGGGTTTCATGTGCTTAGAAACACAAAGAATATATATATATATATTTTATTATCCACTGGCTCTGAGGCAGATATCTTAATAGGTTGCACATGTCTGTGTATGTCACGAATGCATTCGAGAAAACAGGGTTTTGTCTGTGTCATGCTTTTTTTTTTTTTTTATTCACAGCTGCAACAAAGCCACTAGACTTTGCATTTCTGGAAATTTTTAAATATTATAAAATTTTTTATAAATCTAAAAATTTTATTAAACATCTTTTCTATTGTGTTAATATTGTATCTAGAGATGCACCAAAAAATTAATCAATCATATCTTAGGCTTTAATTTTCAATAGATATAATGTATGAAAACCAAGAACTCAACATTTTATTCAGTAGTTCGTTAAGAGTGGATAAAAATCAGAGGTTAGAAATAATTTATAATGCATACCTTGCAATAAGGTTCATACATTGTAAACTGTTCTACAAACTGAAGAATGTTTTCATTGACGGACACAAAGTGGTGTATCAGAAGTCCAGTTAACTAAATTAAGTTAAAATTCTCCCCACTGTTCTTACAGAGCTGGACTGAGTTTGCAAAGACAAATGAGCAAACTCTAAATTTTCAAAAGTATTACTATTATTGAGGCATTTGCCCCATAAGAAAGGTAGCCTCCACTGCAGCCGAAAGTGGTTCAACAAAAGTCTCATCTCAGGAGCTAAATGCTAATGTACCTTTCATTTTTTTTAAAGATTTAATTTGTAAAAAATATATTGTTTCCTTCTATTTACCAGTTTTGCACACTGTGCTGGCTGGTCATATGATTCTAGTGATTAAAAATGGATTTGGGTGAAATGTGACGCAATATGGAAAAATGTAAGGATTTTTAATCAATTCATAAGCCGCTCCAGTTTTGAATCGAAAACTACAACTTTTATCAAGGAGCTGCTGTTTATTTTCTCACCAGGTCAAACCTCAAAGAAACCTGAATATCAGTGGATGGGAAAGTCTGATTGGTGCATCTCTATATATACGTACATTTGCTATATTTTGTCTGCCAGTTTGCTTCAGAAATGAATTGATGGCTTTGATGCGCATTTGATTGACCTGTTGAGTCACTTTACTTTGTGTCATTATGTGGGACTGTAGCTGCTTATTTATGTGTGAAGAAATATGTGGAGAAACAAATTCATTAAAGAAAAAAAAAAGATGAAATGCTGGACAGATATATTGAGCCCCCCATTCTAATTGCTTAGATGGAAGTCTTATCACGAGAGGAGAGTAATATAAGCCAACCTGCAGCTAACTGGGAGGTCAGTTCTTTACATTTCTTATCACATCTGTCTCTGACAGGCTCTGTCTCCTTTTGTACTCTGTACCGCTGCACACTCCTCCTTTTTGCCTCCCTTCTTTCCTCTCTCTTCCCCCCCCCCCTCTCTCATCTCCTCTATCTGCCTCAGGGCCTAGATGTATATGTTTCCAGTCCATGTTTATGTTTCAGGAAAGGGAGATGCCAGGACTTTAAGGCCCAGAGCGCATGGACTCACAGTGGCTGCACTAGTCTAACCTCTGTCTTGTGATTTATCTGTCTTCCCCCCCTTTTTTTGTCTTGTGTGTGTTTGTGTGCGTTCGTGGGTTTAATTTATTTCTTTGGCAATTTCTTTCATATTAAGACAATGTAATTGCTGACGCAATATTTGCTTCTGTAGCTGTTGAGGCCAGATTGAGGCTTAGAGAGGTGTGTGTGTTTGTGACGTGGGCAGATGAGTGGTTTTCATGGGTTCTCTCTGCTTTTGTCCCCCCCTTTTTTTTCTCTCTCTGTCTTTTGTTTTGTTGTGTGTTTGTGTGCGCACAGCGGGCGATGATGCGGTTCTCCGAGCTGGAGCTGAAGGAGAAGGAGGGCGGCGCCGGCATGTGCGTCTTTGCCTCGGCAGCGGCAGCAGGACGGGAGCTGGCAGACGGCCAGCACAGAGAGAGAGGGCTGGAGTCCTGCCAGCACACCACCAGGCAGGCAGAGAGGGAGGGTGAGTAATACACAAACACACACACACATATGCAAGAGGACAAGACATACTCATAAAAGGACTCATGCAAACAAAAGGTACGCGTGCACACTTGCAGCAGAAGCTGAGGCAAAACTGGGGTCACTCTTAAAAAAGATGCTCTCCTGCAAAAACACGCAACTCTCGCATAAACTGGGCGGGCATAAGCGAGACGGCGAGGGGGAGTTTTTATTTTCAAGGAGCCTTTTGTGCTTATCTGTGCAGAGCGAGACGGAGGAGAGAGAGGGGGCGAGCAAGAGAGGAGAGGGAGGGGCAGGGGCTGCGTGAGTGAAAGCAGGGGGAGAAAGCGGATGGGAGAGCTCAACGGAAAGGGGGGGTATAGTTACGTTGGCTGGGAGCCCAGCTGTGTGTTGGAGCGAGGCCTCGGCTGACGTGTGAGCCTAATTATGGCACGGAGAGGGAGACGGTGAAAGGGATACGAGGAGAAATGGGGGGGTAAAGTCATGCTCTGTGTGAAAAGGGCGTGGCTCGGTCATGCCGTGGGGGAGAAGAGAGGAAGGTGGCATGTCTCTCCTCTATGCTGAAAGTAGGAGGAACCATCAGACGCTGCTGGCTCTGCTCGGCTTGCATCAGATTAAAAAGTCTTTACCCCATCAAAGTTTTACTGCCTGCCTTTAAAGCAGAATAAAAGCTGGCTGGTGTTTAACCGCCACTCTCCTGCTCGTCGATCCCTCACATCTTCCTGCCCCGCCCGTCGGTTTCCCCTGCCCGCTTGGTCTGTCTGCTCTGTGGTCTGTCTGCGTACTTGGTGTCCCTTTTCATCTCTTCCGGCTAACCCTGTTTCCCGGTCTGCCTCGTTCAGGTGTCCGCCCGCTGTACGCCAACAACAGGGTTCCAGTTCTCCAGAGGTGCGTGGCCCCGAGGGACCACGTGTCCCTGGGTCACCAGGGTCAAGATGGGGCCAAGAAAGCTGCGACCAGAGAGTCTGAGGAGGGACTATGCATGCCTCCCACTCTGACGCCATCAAAGGAGTTCCTGGAGGAAAAGTTCAGCCCAGGGTTCGGAGCTGCCAGAAAACGCCCGCTCACTAAGGAGGAGCAGGAGGATACAGAGGAAGGGGAGCGGGAGAAGAGAGCCAAGCTGTCCACAGGTGAGAATATCAGAGAGGTGGATTCTTACTTCCACCTCACCCCCATTTCTTTATAAAATCTAAATTTAGGACAACCTGCCATAATCTATAATAACATTTTCTGTTAGTTTTGCTGTTGATATGGCTCACTACTCAGAGCAGCACAAGCTTGGGGTTACTACACTAAAATGATAATTTAACTTAAATTAATGTTTAAATGAAAAAAAAAAAATATATATATATATATAAAATTTATTTTGTGTAAAACCCGATAGGGTTAGAATTACTGTTATCTAAACCATTTTCACAAAATTTCTTCTGCACAGGTTAATGTATTCAAATAAAACCTTTGATTTGTAGATGAGATAAAGCTCGCCTTATAAATGTTTCCAGCCCTCAAGGGAAACCAAAATACTCATAACTGAGACCACAGGGTAACTGTGACCCAATGTGCAATTCTCTGCTAATGTTGAAAAATGCACAAAACTGTGGTTTGTGAAATGAGTGACCAGGCTCAGTGCCCAGGGTAGCACAGCCATGGGGATGGCACACCACTTTGAACCTCATTTTAACGTTGTGTTATGGGATATAATGTTTGTTTTTTCTATTTGTGTTGTTTTTTTTTTAAACCTTAATTAAAATACAATATCTACCTTTCCAAAAAGCCTCATTGTTCCATAAGACTCTGATAAAAGGCATTAGGGAGCAGGTTAGAGCTCTTTTGAGTATATTTATTATGAAGTTTCCTTTTTTACACTTTTAATTCACGCTACTTGTTTAAAGAGATTTTTAAGATCCTGTTAAATGTACATTTTAAAATGTATTTGATTTAGTAAAATGTGGCGATTGGAAGCAATTTTTGAACCGGACCAGTGTATACTGAGATAAAAGTAAAATAAATTTGTCAAAATCTCTTCCCTAGGCATAGTTTTTACCAGTAGCCTACCTGCTGATGAGATTTATTATTAGGCCTCTTGCAATGTCTTTAGTTTGCAGAAAAACAGCGCTTGCTGGGGTTTTTCTTTCCTAAAAAGCTTTTATTTTGTAGAATCCTGCTATGGAAATCCATTCATTCTCATTCTTCTGTGTTTTTTATAGTTACTGTGCATTTGTTGTTTAGAGAAAAAAGCCAAAGAGAAAAAAAAGACAACCGGATAGCAGCTTTAACCATAGCACCACCCTCCTCCTCTTCCCACTCACTGTCCTGCACTTCGCTCTGTGTGGCAGCCAGCTCCGAGGGGCGTTTAATCCTTCCCTTTGAGCAGACAGCGCGCTAGAAAAGCAAGGAAGAGGGACAGCCATTCTTTCTCCCTCCTCTTTCAGCTCTGCTGTTCCTCCGCTGTGCTTACCCGCCCTCTTCAAAGCTGCTCTTTTTTTTTTCTTCCTTTCTCTTTTCATCTTTTTTTGCCTCATCTGTTTTGGTTTCTTTTTTTTTTTTCTTTTCATCTGGCATGGGATATCGTGCTTGCTCTCCTCGGCACTGGCAGACAAGTCAAATACCCATTCCTTGTGAATTTCGGCGGGGAGCAGTCTGTCTCAGCTCCTTTATTCTTTATTGGTTTGTTTCTCCGTGTTTTTTTTCTCTTCCCTTCTGTCTGTCTCTGTTTCTCACCCTTTCTCCCTTAGCGCATAGAAGTAAAGTATAAAGTTTAGGCCTTGTCGTTGTAGTTACTTTGTCACTCTTAAGCTTGCCGTTCAGGTATTATTGTGTGAGGATTAACAAAGCTTGTTTCACCCGTCAGCAGATGAGCATGAGCAGACTAGACCTAACGAGGATGACGACGATGACGAGGTGCGAAAGCTCAAAGTTTGCATTGAGCTTAAGGGACTGCGACTCAGCAAGCCCGCAGCAGGGGCAGGGTCACCCGACGGGTCCCAGTTCAAACAGGAAAGGCCATGGCCCCAGCCCCGCGCGGCAAACCCAGCACAGACCCAACGAGAGCGCAAGATCCATGCAGCAGAGCCTGAGGACAGGGCCGCAGCGCAGAGGAACGACATCAACGGGAAGTGGGGCTACGAGAAGCTACCTAATGGTAAGAACGAACCACCAGTCAGGCTAACCGCCACCTTTTATTCTCAGAGTTCAGCCAGGGTAACGGAAATCTATCTTTGGCTCACGTTTCACTTTCTTGATGAGCAGGCCGTCTTTAGGGGATTTCCCGAGAGCAGACAGAGAAGATTCGGGGGGGGGGCAGAGGAAATCACTGGTGGGACTCTTGGTCCTGCCAGGCAGAAGGGTTGAAGGGCCTTGGGGACCACGGGCCAAAACGTGCAAGCCCCGACCCCAACCCCCGTTTCTTTTCCTCTTTATTAAATGTTCAGTTGGTTTACGTCAGCTCTGTGAGGAGGATGAAAGACAGGAAGTGGTTGGCGGAGACACGCAGGTGTGCTGTGACTAATGTGTGATCAGTGATTTTTTTTTTTTTCTTTTTTTTTTTTTTCCTCAAGACCAATCACAAGGGGACTGAATGGGGGGGATTTATTGGTGCGTGTTGTTGAAGGGGATTGCTGTTCGCATTAAAAACGAAGGAGTTTCCCTTATTCTTTAGTTGAAATGGGAAGCAGAACAGTGAAAAAGAAAGTTTATAAACAGCAAAGGAAACTTGAGAATTGATCAGTCAATGATTCCAATTTTCTGTCACATGTTTAGACATTATCCCCATGGCAACCGATGCATTTAACAATAATAGTGTCTTTAGCATAACAAATGTTAAAATGCTTAATACCAGTAAGAATCTCTGACAGTGCAAGGATTTTCCTTTTAAGGTGCATCAAATGGAAAGTAGGCCATTTCTCTAAGCTTTGCTCAACTTTTTTTGTCTACAAATTAAATATTTACTGGAATGCAAAACTTGCTGAATACAATTTTCTTTACTGCAGAAATCTTTCTACAAATCACATTAATAACGGTTGTGTTTCTGACAAAGCTCAGCACGGTTTTTGATTTCTTGTGAGTGTATTTGCATCATTTTTTTGAATAGCTAGAGGTGTCTTTGCTGCAGGAAATATTCCATGCCACAATGTATTTTATTGCCATTAAGTTATAAAGTTTGAGAAAAATAGTTGATGAAAGGAAATCTTCTTAATTTCTTTTTAATTTCTGTTCAATCCATTTACGCAGATGCTCCTAAGTATAATAAAGTGCAACCATTTTCTTTTAGAAGTTGTGTGTTGAGTAAGCAGAGTCCTCCTATTAATAAATTAGCCTTACTGCACACCAGACTGGATACATCTGTCCAGCTAAACTCATAGGTCAGGTAAGCGGAGTGTTAATCAGAGGTAACACAGGGAACCCTCAAGGAGCTGCAGAGATCCACAGCTCAGGTGGGAAAGTCTTTTAAAAAAATATCTCTCTTGGATGGCCGCTCACACTGAGCCTGGTTCTGCTGGAGGGTTCTTCCTGTTAAAAGGGAGTTTTTCCTCTCCACTGTCGCTACAAGCATGCTTGGTGTGAGGCATTGCATTAGTCAATGAGTCGATGCAATCAACTGGTTTTCCTTAGATAGAAAACTTTGAATCAATTTGACTGGATGATCTGGTGAAATGTAAAGTGCATGAGTTGTGAATTGGCACTATAGAAATAAACTGAACTGAATTGAATCTCTCCTCTGTCCTTTTATGGAAAACTGTCAGAATGACAGGCAGCCTGTTTGCAATTTGTCACAAGCCATGCAGGAGGCACAGCAAAATATGCTTCGGTCAAAATTAAGACTCGAGGCTGATGGAGGTTTTCCTTCCAGATGGAAAAACAAAGTATAAAGTCTCAAGTAATAATGGAAAGGTTTAGGTTAAAGCACATTGTGGTAGAATGGCCTAGTCAAAGGGTGAAATTGAATTCAACCAAGACTTCAAAACTGATCAGATTCTCTCCATCCCATTTGGCTGACCTTGAGCTGTTTTGCGATCAAGGACATAGATGTGCAGCGTTGTTGGGGAAACGCTCTCAAAATGTAAGAGTCGTAGAAAAATAGGGATTCTTATTGGTCTACTGCATTAAATCCTAACAAAGAACTTGTTTTATTTTCTAGAAGCATAAAGTGAAACTGGTATGGCTAATTTCTCAATGCACTACAATCTTTGTGTTGTTGCATTTCCTTTTTTTTTTTTTTTTCTTAGCTAGGTTAGACACGTGTGCTCCCAGACAGCTCTGTGCTCATTAATAAACTAACAGTGTGCCAGAGATGGCCTTGTGTCCTCCTCTGCTCAGCTCTCTCACTCCCTGCTCTCCCTCTGCTCCCATTCCAGGAGTAGCTGCTCCTGCCCTTCCCCCCGGCCAGCCAAAGGACAGAGCGCACCAGCCGAACCTCTTCTCAGGTGACCGCGGCCTTAAAGAGTCAAAGAGGGGCCCCCCTTCGCCGGCCCCGGAGTCCTGCGTGGGAGGCGTGCCTCCCCTCAAGCCCCGTCGCCATAGTGACACGGACAAACCCAAGGGCAAGCGGCCCTGCAAGACCAAGCACACCAGCCAGCGAGACAGAGAGAGGGAGCGCGAGAAGAGGAAAGAGGCCGCGCCCACCAGTCCGGGCCAGCGCTCTGCGCCTGATCTGGAATCAGCCGCGGACGACAAGGTGAGCGCCGATAGGGGCCGTCTGGATGTGTGCAGCAGCAGAGTGTGTTTCTGTATGCCTGTCGGCTCCTCTCATTATGCAGCTGGGAAAGGGAGGGAGGGACAGAGGAAGGAAGTATGTTTACAATGTTTAGAGGGCTGCTGGAGCTTTGACCTCCCTGTGCCCTTTGCAGCTCCCTGAGGAGGCCCTGCTCGCTTGTCCCCGTGTGTGTGTGTGTTTGTCTCTGGCCTTAATTGTCGAGCGTGTGTCATCTGGGCTGTTTTTGCGTGCGAGTGTCCTGCGTGTTGGTGAGCATTCCTGACAACAAAACCCTGGAGCAATTATGCATCTCTGTGTCCTGAGTGAGTATGAGGAATGTGGCAGCATTGGTGGAGCACATGACGCTCACAAGGAGGAGGAGGAGGGAGAAAGAGGGAGCAGAGGGGAAAATCGAAAAAAAGTATTTTTTTTTTTTTTCCTGCCTGTGCTGCTTCCGTCCCCCTGCTCCTCCTCAGGCTGACAGCTGCTACGACATGGAATTCCACTGAGAGGGCAACGCGCTGCTCGCACGCACTCACACAAGCACAGGCAGGCAGCTCCCTCTGTGAGGGCTCAGCGATTAAAGCAAAGGGGCATGGCGGCCTTTAGTGTTCGGGGTGTGAACGCTCACTGTGAAAGATGCTTTTTTTCCCCTCATTAATGCATAATGTCTCCCCAAAACATAAGGGAAATCTTGAACGCTTATGAGTTCATATTGGGTTTAAAAACCTACCAAACTTAGTTTTTTATTCTAAAATTTCCCACTGCTGCCATTTTCTTCCCCCCATTTAGCTCAGGTATGCATAATTGTCTTATGTCAACATTTGTCAGGTTTCATCAATGTGCCCTTGAGTGTCAGATTTTTGTACTGTGCGCTACACGGCGGCGCCTGCTCACTCTTCTCCCCCACATCTTTTCTCAGCCGGCTGAGCAGCGCAGCGCTCCGAGGAAGAGAGCCGCCTCTCCTAATCACTATCCCTGCTCTCTGCTCCAGCCCTGCTCCCCCGCCGCGCTCTGTCCGCCCGCCCTGCTGCCACAGGCGAATGTCAAGGCCCCGCTGGAAGTACCGGGGCTGCACAGGACCCCCCCTCCTGAGCCCTCCGCCGTGCGCCCTATCCCGCCGGAGGCTCGGCGACTGATCGTGAACAAGAACGCAGGCGAGACTCTGCTGCAGAGAGCTGCGCGGCTCGGCTACGAGGTAATTTGTTTTATTCTACTCATCCTCCCTCCTTATCGCTCTTAGCCCCCCACATTTCACACTCTTACACCTCATATCCCCTGAACTTTGGCCCTCTTTTTTTTTTTTTTCCTTTCTAAATGAACAAATTTTCTTCCCCAGACTGCTCCTTTCTCTGACTCTGCCAGATGCTACTTTGGCTTTTTGGAGAACCTTCCTCCCTCAGATGTCTCCTTTGCTACCTCTTTCTAGCTCCCATTTCATTTGCTTTTTTCTCTCATCTCACCTTTACTCATTTTTTTTCCTCACATGCTCCATCTTATTACTCTCCTTGCCTGCTGCTCTCCTCTCTCTCTCAGGTTTCCACTGTCTCCCTCCCTCCCTCCCTGCCTGCCTCCCCCCTTCCTTTCCTCTCGGCGCTCTCTTTCTCTTCCTCTCTTTGTGACTCAGATTGTCGTTGGCAACCCCCTCCCTCTCCTCCTCCTCACATGTGCAGTCGCTCACACACAAACACGCCGCCTCGCCTCCTCTCGCCTCACACCGCTCACAACTCGTTAATTCTCCGCGAGGCAAAGTGTGACGCACGCACATACACACACGCACGCACTCAGGCGCATGCGCGCCAGCATGAGGGATCGTTATATGGAGACGGATGCTCGCCAGCTTCTCTCCCTTTCTCCCTCCAGCATCGGCGAGGTAATCCTCAGTCTGTGTGCGGAGCTGCCGATCATTCCTATTCCAGCGGCGCCACCAAGGGGGGACCAGGGGGTTGTCTTGGATATATATTATCTTATGCAAATATGAATATAAGGAAAAAGCAGCATCGTTCATCTAGAGATGCCCCCATTTATCTGGAAAAGAAAAGAGAAATGTGTTTTTTTCCGCTTTTATGTTTAGCTCCTAATTTAACGTGGATGGTCTGTGGTTTTGAGAAGTTTTACAAATTGATTTATTGATTGCTGCCGTTTGGCTTTGGCTCATTGGGGGTCTTGCTTATTGGAATGGTGCTAAACGCTCAATGATGCATTTTTTTGTGTGCATGTGCATTATATGGAGGTAAAACATGGTGATTTAAACAACCATTATGCATTGTAAATTGATCCAGTTCAGATTTAACCTTAAGGTGATGAAATGTGCTGCAAATTTCTTTAAAGATGCGATTCAGTGGTGTTTCCTTTAACCAACAAATGTAAGCTGACTATATGAAACATTTTTAGAACATAAGAATTGAATCATAAACATTCATTTTTCCAGTCCGCTGAACTGCTGCTAGCTTTACTCGCGTACCTGGAAGATGCCCAGTGCTACTACCACAGATGATCTTGCTCTCCTAATGGAATTGAACGATTCAGTTTAGCTAGCCGAATGAATATAAGGGGTAAAGCGTAGCCGCCTGTAGCCCGGGCTGCCTGTCACATTTCCATTCCGGTGCGTGGATGACGTCATACACACTCCGCTTTGTTTTAAAAAAAAAATCTAAATATAAAAAATATAACCACAGATGTCAGGGGGACAGTGATTCGCCTACATGTTATGAATGCTGGCGTACCATAAATGATCAATTATGAACAGTTTAGTTTGTGTCTTAAAGTCGTTTGCCCATAGGAAGACGAAATATCTTCAGAACAGCTCCAAATGACACAAAACTCATATGGGTGAATAGAACATGATGTAATAACGTAAAATCAAGGGCCAAATGTTAAAAAAAAAAATGGCGTTCCCCTTTAATGATGAAATATGAATGAAAGTTATTTTGGTTGCAAATTTTTATTACATTCTTTTTAAAGGAAAGTGCATCTAAAACTGCATATTATTGTTACCTTTGGACGTGGCGGGGTGACAACTCTTTCCCCGGAGGAAATAAGCAATATAAAACTTGTTGGAGGCATAACTCTGATAGCTATGCAAATGATAATTGTCAATAGCTGGGTCCTCTCCTGTAGGTCCTGCCGCCCTGGGCGGGTAGCCTTATCAGGAAGCTCCTCTGCTCCCATGTTTCTGCATGCCTTTGTGGAGGCTTCTATAAACTGGTATCTTCACGCTATGCTTGTTGGTGACTTTCTTTATCGTTAGTCGGACACGTTTATGGTGATGAGGGGAGAGGGTATGTGCGGGTGATTATGTGTGAGAGGCTGAATGGGAGAGAGCAGGAGTGTGAATGGGAGGTAAGCACTGGGAGTATAATCGCGTTCTAATGGCCCTCTAATGTGCCGTGGTGACTGTGGTTAGCAGCGGCGGCGGCTGTTTTTCTCTCTCTCTCTCAGTCAGGATGCAGCAGCAGCAGCAGCAGCAGGGCTCAGTCAGCCGTGCTCGATTGAAGCTGGCTCTTCTCTCTGATTTATGCGTCTCTCTCGAACGTTTTTTTCCCCTCCCTCTCCTATATATTTTTTTCCTTCTCCTCTCTAGCTTCACATTTTCCCCCCGCGCTCTTCCCTTCCTGCGCTCCTCGTGTGGAGAGGAGGAGGAGGAGGGGGAGGGGAGGAGAAAACCTGAGACTACACAAACAAGGCGCTGACCGCTGCGCAAACAACACCCCCCTCCTCTTCCTCCCACCCTTTCTTTCTCTCTCTCTCTCCCCCTCCTCGCTCAGGAAGCTCGTCTCTCACTGCCTGCGTGTGATAAGCCCGGGGCAGGCCCCTGGGGCTCCCACGCACACACACACAGGGACGGCGCACATCTAGACACAGCAGTTTATGCACTCTGTCTCTCCTTCACACACACACCAACCCCAGCCTGTAGCTGCGCAGAGCGCTTGTATCACGCTGGTGTTTTAGCGCCGCGAGCTCCGGGCTTATCACACACAGGCAGAGAGATACGGAGGCCCGCGAGACAGAGGCGCGCGCGCGCGCACACACACAGCTAACATGCTGATTATGAAGCATGCAAGGAAATATGCGGAGAGAAACACCCGCTCTGACCCAGTAAGCACACGCACAGGCCTCCCCTGCGTGTTCCTCTCCATATGCTGCACACAGAGACCGCTCTTCTCCTCGGTTCCCGCTGCTGTCACACGCAGGCACGCGGCACTGAAATAATCGCGTGCACAGACGCAGACAGAAAAACGGAGATGGAGATGCACCGGTTGTTGTGTTTTTTTTTGTTTTGTTTTTTTCGGTGTGTGTGTGTGTGAGAGAACCTGCACACGCAGCAGGGCAATAATCTGTACGGGTACGCGCAACGTGGCGCGCGCTTGTGCCGTTTTGTGCCCCCCCCCGTACATATTTCATGTTCATTTAGTTTCGCAATCCGTGCCTCTGCACATGAAAGCCCACTCTCTCTGCCTTCCTTCCTCCCTCGCTCGCCTTTTATTCTTGCCGATCGCTCTGCCTCGGTTGCTGAGCATTTGAAATGGTAATGAGAAATGCTGCGGATGTCTTCATCCCTCTCACGGCACTGATCGGGGGCCCTCTCAGCTCTGCCCGCTCAAGGCTCAGATAAAGGTGCAATCTGTCATTTATGCTCCCCCCCCATGAATCGCTTCTGAGCTTGGCTGTCAGATCGATAAGATCCAAGCAGAAGACAAAAGTTGGGTTTCACCTGCAGCCCCCTTCTGTGAAAGAAAAGTTTGCACAATCAGAGGGTTTGGTAAATATAGAGCCCCACAATTACATCAAAGGTCATTTGACTAACAGAGGTGGTCTGATCTAGAGGAGAATTGGGGAGCACCTGCCTTGTAGATGTGAAAAGGTTTTAAAGTTGCAGTTTAACAACTGCAAAAATATTGTCATATTGTTGTAGATGTTATAGGTCATTTATTTATGAGATGCCAGAAAAAAAAAAAAACAGACTAATAGATTATAATTTACTCTAGCTGTAGGTTGCATAGATAAAAACCCAGTTCTGCCCCTCCCAAACCTGTTACTGCTAACTAGATAAAATAATGGTTATATATGTTTGGCTGCAAAAGCCATTATGAGCGTCTTTCGCACAACAGTATGGTCCGAATGTGGGCCAAGAGTCGAGCCTCTCTCTGAACTGCCTCAGTTCGTTCATAAATCACAGATTAGCTGGCTTTGTCTCAGACATATGTAAGCATTGGAAAAATTAAAACATTATGGCAGAAAGAGGGGGGGAGGCATCGAGGGGAACTCTGCATAGTGCAAGAAGAAAATCACAGCCAGACATTTCCAAAGGTTAAACGCTTTGGTTTAGTCTGATTCTTTATTAGTTTTGCTCTGTTTTCAACCATCACTACCACTGAAGGAACTCCCCTTGGCTTGAGTCCAGTTATCGTCTTGGTCTCGGAGTATTTCGGATGTCCAATGTGTGTTAATGACAAGAATGTCATTAATACGCACAAGAAAATGTGTGTGTGTGTGTGTGTGTGTGTGTGTGTGTGTGCGCTCCTGGTGTTTGCAGTGTGTTTTTGCCTTGGATTCCTCAGCCAGCTGGCTGTGCTGACCGTCTGTCATCACTGCATCACACTAAGCCTGAGAAGCCCACACACACACACACACACACACACACACACACATATAGACTGTCGTGGGACCTTGACAAACTAACCTCCTCATCCCTAAAGCCATTTTTTCTTGTGACACAAAACACAAATTATGGAAAATTGTCTGAACACCAAAGAATTTCCAACATATTCTTACAATTTAAAGTCCTTTTTAACTATATATTTTTTTTCCCAGTCAAAATAATATTAATAATGCCCCACTTCTCTTGCCTGTTGCTGCACACTGCTTATCAGCTGGCAGAAAGGGTGTTTTCTTTTGTTTGTATGAAAAACGGCTCGTTGAGATGGACCAGCTAGAAGAGCGAGGTGTGTGAGAACGCTGGGACCCTTTTTCCACCTGGGTCCCCTCTCTTTTTCACCTTCATGTCCCTCCGTTGTCGCTAAAAACTTGCCCCTTGCGTTTTTCCACTTCCTCACCTCCTCGGCCGCATCACAGTTAGTTAGTGATTGTCCCTCTTGCATTGCGGCACGGATTAACATGATTGGGCATAAATCAGAAATATCTGCAACAAGCTCACTGCGACACACTGCTGCGGGAAGGATAACTAGTCTCTAAGCA